CATTAAACGTAAAGCAAAATTATAAACGTAACTTATATTTATAGGCCGCAATCGCTGGTATTTACATAGCCTTAGCGATGCAGGAACAGATGAGGCCATTTCATTTGTTCACTGGTGTGTAACCGTGTGTTTCGCATATGTTCAAATGTCATACGCCGACGGTAGAAGTAGAGATGACAAAATAAAATAGGCATATATGCTCACCTCAAGCAGCCAGCGATTAAGCTCTATTTCACTAATTAAAACGTGTGAAATTCTGAAAGCAAGCATATAAAAAAAAGTATTCTCTAGCAGCATTTCCAACAGCTAAATTAAAAATACGTTGTGACAAATCTTTTTATCCTCTTAAAGTACAGGATATCAACAAGGCACTAATGATTTTTTATAATAAAAAATTAGAATTGCAATGTCAAGATGAATTATACCATAGCCTTCTACATAGGGGGAAAGCCCGCGACATCCGCGCTGATCCGGTCACCAAAATGGGAGGGACGAAACGAGAGAAGATAAAATAAAAAAGCTGTTGGGAGGTGAGCACCGCATTCACGGGGTGTTCCACGTAACTTGAGCTAAGGTTTATATTTTTTTTATGTATTTTGGGGAAAGCAATACCAAAGGAATAAGTGTGCTTATTGTTTCGAGTAAGTCAGGCTATTTTCGTGATTTACTTGATGAAATGATTACCTAAAATTAATTGATTAACTTTAAAATATTATATTAAGAGCAAGATTTAAAATGATAAAGTATTACAGCGCCCTCAAAAACATACAATTCAACGTTGTTTAAAAAAGCAAAAATGTAAAACAAATTTTTTATCTGGGGATCGAAAAAAGCCTGCAAATTATGAAGAAAACAACCGACTTTGCGCTCGCGCGCCTTGTTTTGTAGCGCTTTCAAACGTAGCTCTCTGAAACTTCTACCAAGAGATTGATTGGACCATACCTCAAAATAAACGCTAACGTCCCCATTGACTCGTGCGTGGTGTTGTACTCAGGTCTTGAACACACAGGCCTCAGATATCCTCCGCCTGGAAGTATCAACTACTTTGATCAACCACAAGAAGGCCACCATTAGTTTGGCTCATTTGCCATACACTGAGAATATAATAGTGATCAAATTGTTGCCACACGGGACTCCGAAAAAGGGCTATTACAGAACTAAAAACGAGCGTTTCTTTTTTCTTTTTTTTTTCAGTTTCTGTTTTTTTTTTGTTTTTTTTTTGTTTTTTTTGTTTTTTTCTTGAATGAAGGATTTGCGATTCCTATGATTTCGTCACCGAGCTTTGCGATCACCGCCGTGGTGAGATGTGAATGTGGACCGTACCCGCTCATTCACACTGGAAGCGGATCCGCGTTCGCAAAGCGGTTGCGAAAGCGGCTGTATAAAAATCCAGTAAAATTTCACGCGCATTTGATGTCATCAAGTAGACGTGAAATTGCACTGGATCTTTATACAACCGCGTTCGCTACCGCTTTGCGAACGCGGATCTGCTTTCAGCGTGAATGAGCGGGTACAGTGGACACGAGCGGTGCGTGAGGATTCGATTTAGACCCGTGACAATCAATGCCTCGACATGTATTCGTGTAGTGGCTCGTGCCCAACCGCCTCGGTGATGGGAATAGCCTAACCTTAACAATGTGTGAAATTCAGCGCGTGCCTTTACCAATCCGAGCGCGTCGCCATGATAAACATTGGTGGCATATAATCCACCCCCGATCACGTGGCCGCTTGTTCTGACTGCGAGGTGAGGGAGAGAACGGTGATAATTTTTTGTTCCAATTTTTTTTTTTTCTGCGACTGGCATTTTGTCGAGAGAAAAAACCACAAACCCGCGTTTTTTGTTATAAATGCCAAAGGATAACTCGAAACGGTCATTACTGAATGTATAAAAATTGTTGCATGACCCCTTTAACTCATAAGCATTCGCGCATTTTAGTTAAAATATTTACGTGCAATTTTGCTTTGTGTAATTATAAGTCGAACAGAATTTTTTTTTTTTTTTTTTTTTTTTTTTTTTGCGGGTTGAGTGTTACAGGGCTGCCGTCTTCCCCGTGCATTTATCAGGCTCGGCAGACTTTAGAACATTAGATGAAAAAATGAGAGTCATAATAAGTACACTAATTAACTGAAATATGGCCAATATTTGTTAAATTATTGGTTGTATGGGTCATGTTCCAATTGCAGCATTGACGCTAACTACTATAAAAGGCCAGGCCACAATTTTCCAAAGGTTATTCGTTTTTCAGATATTCATCGATTAACTTGCTCTCAATTTTTTTATCTGTTGTAATTAAAGTTTAACATCCAAGGCCTATCAAATATACGCATACTAAACAGGCATCATAAGAAAAAATTATTACGCGTTGGTACTTGTGCTTTTTTTTTTTTTTCCTTTTTCTTCTAAATTCGAAAGTTCACTTGTGCATTGCCATTCGTTAAACTCCTTGAACGGTTTGCATCGCGTGGTTCGCAAAATCAAACCGCACAGACCAATTTTCCTGCATAAGGCAGGAAAGGCTAGGGTATTTCCCCTTATGCCTGCAAACTACGGTCGTTTTGTTTAATAGAAAAGCCTTCATAATCAGCCTCTGATAAGAACCATTTTCTAATGCTACTAAACATCGAAATGCACAGTTATCTACAAAATGACATAAGATTGAATTGTGTTGTTGCGAATCTAGTTCTGGTCAGATCTTTCGGAAGCACAAAAAAAAAACACGATCCCCCTTTCTCTGGGTGACTGGTTTGTTGAACGCGAGCAAAGTGATGACTCGACTTTCGCGCCGCGGCGGCGCCATCTGAGATGGACGGTCGTCAGGCTTTTCCCCGCGTCCTTCTTCACAAAGAGCTGTTTGGGAGTCTGGAGCCCGAATCAGATTGGAGACAAACACTTTGCTCCCCACTACCCCTTTACTTCCTCGTCTTCGCTTAATGCTGGTTACCCCCGATCCCGGAAAATTAGGGAAAGTGCCGACGTTTGATTGGGGAAAAGGCCGTAAGACATCCACCCCTCCATTGTGTTACGTACTTCCCTAGAAGGGAGAAACGGTTGTTTGGAAGGGCACGGGCAACCGTTAACTGATTACAGACATCTTACGAGAGACGTTTTGTGAACCTATAAACTGAGAGTAAAAGGCTCAGCTTGCCCCCGGCCGTTTCTTGCCGTTTTCGCGGAGAGAAGATTTTCGTGCCGCCTTAAGACTTAGAAATGGAATAAAACGAACGTTGGCTAGAGAAGAGGATCCGCTGATTCCCATGCCAAAATGGGGAAGCTGTGCTACCCCGGCGTCCTTTTTTTTATGAAAGGGGTTTTGTTGTTTTAGTCGGGAGGAATTTCAATATATTTGGGCTTACGACTCAAAGCTACTAGGGCCGGGAATGTCGTTCGAAACTGAGACTTTAACGTGCTCTACTCGCGTGTTCCATCATTTAAAACTGTTCGAGTTTCTGTTGTTGTTGTGGTTGTTGTTGCGGTTTTTTTTTTTTTTTGTTTTTTTTTTTTACTGGTTTTGCCATTAGTTTGTTACGCTCGGCGCTGCTTTTAGGATTGTCCTTCGTAGCATGCTAGGTTCTAAAAGATGATCATAAACTTTTTGTTCAAGCGAGAAGGGTATATTTTAGGTTATGTTGCTTAACAGAGGTGAAGGCGAACATGTTGAAGGCGATAATAAAAAAGCAGAGATGACACTCACAATACTTGTTAGGTTTGTTAATAACCTTCAGCATTTTATTCTCACGTAGACAAAATCAAAATATCAAAACTGAGTGGTTTAAGGTGCCCATGTCTATATAACGCCGCTTGCAATAACAATCACTTAAACGTCAGCTAGCATGTCTTAGATCACTTGACGGACCGCATGACTAGTCAATCACCGGAGACTGTTTACGAATAACACATAACTACTGCCAATTTCCTATGTGTGTGTCTAGGGTGAACTCCGTTTCATTCATACAAGTGCTACCACAAATAATTTATTATGTTTGTTTACTATGGAAAGGAAAATAAACAAATTCAAATAGCGGAAATCAAAGACAAATGCTATAAGCGACGATTCAGAACAGAGTGCGACAGCCTGCAAACAATACGGCATCCAGAGTTTTTTGTTGTTGTTGTTTTCTTGCTTGCATTTTTACTTTATGATCTGGCTATTCAAATGTCACTTTCAGAAGTGTAACTGATTTCTTTTTAATGTTATTATCAATAACTAATTGTCGTATTTTTAACAAATCCCTCGAATATGCGGGAACGAAGTTCGCGCGTATTTGAAAGATTCGAAGGATTTGTATTCGAAGGATCACACTACCTCAAAAATATATTCGCCGCAAGCTTACATGTAAAATAACAACGATTAATGTAAGACAAAGATCTTTTGAATACTGTTCGCTATTCGTAACGGAACGACAAGCAATGGACTCTAATAGGCACTGCTTCGTTAGTTCAAATTTACGAATGATGCCCCTTGTGTGAGTACGTCATGACCGACACTTCGGATTAAATTCTGATTCCCTAGTTTGATTCCCTAGTTTTTCCTTTCGCTCACTTTGCTCATGGGTTCTTTGATCGCTGCATAATGTCCTAATGTTGTACTCGTTATGCACCACCGCCCCCCCCCCCTTATATTACGCACGTGGATGCAGCATGCATCGTGCTTTTATATCACCCCTGCTCGGCAATCTCCACAAGGCCGATTTTTCGCTCGCTGATGATGGAAAAAATTTTCATGTTCATGAGTCACGCTTCATGATTATGTTTCATGTTTATTTCACGTTTCATGTTTTATGTCCATATTTTCTCATCATATTTCCTGTTTCATATGCATGTTTCATGCTCACGTTTTTGTGCATTTTCAGGTTTCATGTATACGACCCATGTTTCATGCTTCTGTTCCATGTTCATATTTTATGTTCATACTTCACGTTTCGTGTTTTGTGTTCATGTTTCATCTTCATATCTCGTGTTCATGTTTCAAGTTTGTGTTTCATGTACCCTTTCTCTTCAGCAGGGAAGCATGGGCGTGACTCAAGTGCTCCTGTTCGGTGCCTGCTGCCTCCTGGCTAGAGAAGTCCTCAGCATGCCGGCGTCCACAGCGCAGCGGGACAAACAGCGGGACACTTCTGAAGCAGGTCGGTTTAACGTAAATAAGAGTGCGACCACTTTGCAAAACAAGGCACAAGCAATGGCACAAGTCTCGCGAGGTGTTTCTGTTCCGAGAAAACTAGTTTCCCCTTACAAAAATGGGTTATTTGTATAGAACAAAAAAAAAACAACGTAGGAGAGAATAAAACTCGGTGCACTTAAAGGGGTGGTGCAACCCTTTTTGCTCTTTGCGTGAATACCACTTAGAATGAATCCCTGACGTTTATATTGAAACATCCGTGAAATGTTTCTCCTCGTACAATGTAGGTCGCAAAAACAAATTAAAAAAACGACACTCTAAAAAAAGTCTTTGCGTCTGCATTCACGCACAACACCCGGAGAACCAATCAGCGCAACTTACAGAGGCAGCTCAGCGAATGACGATGCCCAAACATATGTTTAGACGAAAAAACGCAGTCTCAGTTGTGACATTAAGCAATGCAAGCGTGACGTTTTGCATCGCATAATCTCACAACTCAGACAGACTGCGTTTTTTGGTTTAAGCGTATGTTTCGGTTTCATCATTCGCTGAGCTGCCTCCGTAAGTTGCGGTGATTGGCTCTCCAATTGTTGTGTGGGAAAGTAGACGCACGGGCTTTCTTTCGAGTGAGCAGCGTTTTTCCCCTAAACTTACAGCCTGCGGAACAAAGGTGGACACTGGCCAAGAATAGCGGCGATATTTCTGACCGCCGTGATTGACAGTGCCGCGCTTGACCTTGGCGATGGCCAGTCGCGGCGGTCGGAAGTCTCGCCGACTTTCTGGCCCAGTGTCCAGCTAAGAGCCGCAGAACAAGTGGCCACGTGATATTCAGCCAATTATATGCCACCAATGTTTACCACAGCCACGCGCTGGGGCTGGCAAAGCACAGTACACGCGCCGAGTTCCGGACATTGTTAGCGTTTGACTAACGCAATACTCGGGTCAAATGTATGAGCCGCATTCAAATATCACCACTGGGGGATTATGTCAACACTGTAACTTCCAGACTACGTCATCAAGTTTTGCGAAGAAGATATTGTAAAAAATACTCGCTTTTATTCTGGAAATTACACCGCAACAAAAGTATTTCTTGGTGAGTGGCGTTGCGTGTGAATACAGTTGGGTCCCACCATAGTCCGTTACAACTCAAGAAGGTAGGGCAAGGGAAAGGAAGGCTGAGGAGGGAGAAGCAGACGGAATTCTGGAGAAGAAAGAGGGAAACCTCCTCCTCTCTCCAGCATTCCGTCTGCTTCCTCCTCCCCGACCTTCCTTTCTCTCGCCTCATCTTCTTGAATTGCAACGGACTATAGTGCCAGTAAGCTCGTGTGAGGTGAAAAATATCCCAAATGGATATCTTTGCACCACCCCCATTAATAATAATAATAATAAATTTATGTTCCATTGATTATGATGGCGGACTCGAGGAAAAAAGCTGTCGTGTGCAGCTTGACAAGCCCTCGGGCCCTTACAATGGTCAGCAGCGAGCGGAGGAAAGTTCTACCATCTTACGCGGCCTAGGATATAATCGAAAGTAGGCAGATGTCTCAACCGTACTGACAGAATAGTATAAAGGTTACGAAGCCGCCGAAAAAATAATACTGGTGCCGACAAGGAGTTTTTTTTTTTTATCAATACAGTTCATTCTCTCGCATATTTTTGACTAAAAAAAGCCGGATATTGGCGTGTTAAAGTTCCATCAGATATGGCTACCTTTACTTTTTTATACCCGTCATATTTGCCAAACCTGCATACTTTTTTTAATATGTACATATCTGGTTTCCGCCATATGAGGATATAATTGGTTAATTCATATAAAGTCTCATTTGAGCCTGAGTGCAAACTTACACGAAACTTGGCTTGCTGGTATTTCATGTATGAAAGCATATGCAACGCGCCCGTCAAGGTCCCATTTTGAAAGCTAGCCATCGTACGTGTTTTCCCCACATTAGGAAATCAGTGTTGTACACCTTCCTAAAAAAAAGGAACGAAAGATCGTTCCTCGTTCGTTCTGATTTTTGGAACGCGTTCCCGTTACAAGTTTCATATCTGAAAAAGGAACTCGTCTCGTTACAGTTAAAAAATGGAACGTGACATTTGTATTTTGCTGATTATCATATTTAGGTAGATGAAGCAAAGTTTTCTTTTTTTATCTATCCTATCAAATGACAATATGCGATTGTGAATGCAGTAATAGGGAAGCGCCAGGAGAAGAAGACATGCAGAAGCAGGGTTTCATTTGTTGATATATTCACCTTAAAAAAGCACAGCTTTCAACCATATCTTGTGGTGGGCGATTCAGATGAGCCAGATGTACTGTTACGCCACATTGCACGAGCGTTTTACAACAACCTCACGCGTTTCAATTTAACAAAGTCCCTTATTCAAACTTAGCAACAGTTGCATCTCGATGTTGCTGTCCGCAGGAGGAGCACGTGAAGAAGAAGGGTTGGTTGGGCTTTCAGTCTTGAAAACTACAAGTCCCCCTTTGTGAAGGATGGATTCGTTGTTCAGGGGAGAATAAATCAATATAAAACTGTTTTGTATATTTTAAGTGACTAATAATCGGAATGCAAATGTGCGCTCGGTGACAAGCAACCTGTTTTTTTTTGTTTTTTTTTAGGTTTTTTGTGGAAGTTCAGGGATGGCTGCAGCGGGCCGTAAATTTCTGGGTGCATGAAAATTTGTGGAAGCCAAGAAAGTAGCTGATTTTAAAACGTTTCTTTTTCTGTGTCTTTTCCTTCGATTAAAAGTTTTTTTTTTTATATACCGCAGTCTCGGGCACTGAAAAAAGAAACAATGTCCACTAGCCCTCTTTCACTCGACTGTTACCAAGCGAGGATAGCACCAAAAAAAACCCAAGTAACCAAAATTTTAACGAGATCCTGCTCTTGGTAAAGGTATTGTTTTTATACTGTGGTAACTTCCCTCTTAGAAATAAAAAAAAAAAATTACCCCACTGGACGAAAAAAAGGAACGCCGTTCCTTTTTCCGCTCTAGCAAAAAGATAACGAGTTCCCGTTCCAGTTCCACCAATGAAAAATGGAACGTCGACGTTCCTTTGTTCCTCCTAAAAAAGAATTTGTTCCAGGAACGCCGTTCCGTACAACACTGGAGGAAATGCACAGCAGGGGCTAGAAATCTTACGCCATCTTTGTAAAGTTTCGTTGAAACATACACGGAAGTGCGTGCGGCATTCTTTCGTAAATTCGAATTATTTACATCTTACATTCATAACTCCTTTTGCAAGGGTCGTTTTTACTTCACCGCCTGAAACATTTTGGTTTCACGCGGCGTTCATGTCGGAGGTCTTGACTGGGATCCATCCGAAGAAGTCATATGGAAGACGCCTCTGGCGATTCTTGTAACCGGCAAATATTTTAATTGTCTACTACAGTAAAACGAGGTGTTTAAGACATTCCGAACACCGACCAAGTACTTCTTAGACATGCTACTTACCTTTAAGATAACCAATATCAGCTCTTACACTAAGAACAAGAAACTGGACATTATCTTGTCTTTATAGCGTTTGTCTGCGTACTCTACTTTTAGATACGACCTTGTTTATAGATTATTCTGGTCTAATCAACAACATACGCTGTATTCTAGGTAGACTGTCTGTATAAGGTGCGCTTGGCAAAAGTCTAATAGGTGTATTGGTGAGGAGATTGGAGTGGCGCTTCCTAGCGGCCGCCAACTAACGTTGTGTGGTAAACAAACCCTTCGACCGCATTAATTAGCGCATTTGTTCCAATAGACGGCACAAGGCTCATAAAAGATATCTAGCACTATTCTTTTCTCCTAAACGCATCTAGTTCCCTCTTGCATCCAATGTCGTCGAAGTCCTCATAAAAAGTAAAACAAGCGCATGTGTTATAGTGGCGGATGTAGAGGGGGGAAGGTTCAGGTGTCCCGACCCCGCTCTCGAATCCTGCATGTGTGAACATTTAGGAAGGAAAAACGGGCGGGGGGATTGAACATATGATACACTGATCGCTGACCGCTGCGCCCCCCCCCCCCCCCCCCCCACCTTCTAAAAACGCGCGGGCGTGCCGGGCTTGTCGGTCATGCGCGGGATCATGCGTGGGCGGTGCGGCGCCTTTCGTTTCCTGAATCATTGACAAACCACGCACTTCACTTTTCAGTTATCTGGTCTTTTGCGACAACCATGATCGACATCGGCCAAAGCAAGCGCTGTCCGGTTGAAGGAAAGGATGTGCTCAGCAGCGATCATGCCATCGAATGAAGCGTTGCACCAGAGCCGAAGGCGGACAGTGTCCGCATCGTCGCGTATGTGCCGCAGTCCTCCACGCTGCATATACCCGGTTTAAAAGCATGCTTCGAGCACCGCGGAAACGATGCGGCGTACGCTAGGCCAGTGCTAGCGTCGGAGTTGTTTGCCACACAGCGATTGTTTGTGGTGATGATGACGATAGTGAAACTCCGCCCACAATAGTTCGATCGCCTCGCCAAGTTGCCATAACTCTCCTCGACTGATTCCATTTATCGTTTTTAATGCCGAGTTACTAATCACCACTCAGGATTTACGACAAACGTGTTTTGCGCAGACAAGCGATCCCAAGAGGATATCATGTTCGGCAACCAGCAGAACAAGCCGGCGGGTATGGTGGACGACCTCATCGTTTTCCCGGAAAGAAGGTCGGGCGCCAACTCGCAGGACTCCAAAGACGCCAAGTCTGATCAGAACTCGACGCAGAAAGAAGAAAAATTGGGTAAGACCCTCGATTGTAGCATCCTACTCGTCAAAACCACAGTTGTGGCTGCGGTTGCATCTCAGCAGAAAACCAAGCCCCGAAGTCCAAATACTTAAGGCAGTACATAACACTTAACCGAAGCAGACTGCTACAACAAAACACTGTTGTGGCATAGCCTTCTCTATACTCACAAAACCTGGCAGTTCGACGACGGAGCCATAGAGTGTCATAGAGCACAGAGCCACATAGAGAGCCATAGAGCACAGAGCATCTTTTGGGGAACCTGGACGTCAGAGCAGAGCTTTTGCAGTGGCGAGAACCCGAAACATGATTTTCAAACCCGACGAGAAGGGAAGCGGTAGCGCGAGGAACGCGAGGAGAACGAGCGGACATTCCATCGCTAGGGAAAGGTGTGTTTCGGCGACTCGCCTTAGCGGGGCGCCCATCACGTGGCTCTCCTTTCATCCGTTGTCTGCCGCTTTACCTTTTCAATTTCGGCGGCCGCTTCTCGTGGCGATCTGCCAGGTTTTGTCAGTATAGAGGAGGCTATGGTTGGGATCACCGGGACTATAGGAAACGTTCAAACTCGCGCAAGTTTGCTTATAAAATATACAGTGCGAAGCGGCGGAGAGTACACCAAAAACACACAATTGCGAGCACAAAACGCAGAACTATATAAGCATACGAAACGGCTCGCGTTTCAGCGTGCGATCTGCAGTCAATATTTTTATAGACCAACATTTTTACGAGTTTCAAGAACAAACAGGATAAATTGATAATAACGTTCTCTTTGTTTTAAACTTGTGTTTTTCAGTCACTACGGCTTGTAGCTGCAACTCAAAGGAGTGTTTGACGAAACTAATGAAAAAAACCGCAAGAAAACATAAGGACAAGTGGAACGAGTACTCGTACAGAAACACAGACAAAGTGCTTGCTAACTTTTAACGGTCGTGTTTTTTTTTTTTATGATTAGGGTATGTGTATAAAGTAAGCCGAAAAGAATGTTCGGCAAACGTAATGCACCACTGATAATCAGCGCTGTTTCTGTGAGCTCCTTTAATTTTAATTTTAATGTTCAATTCGTTTTATTGGCAGAAGTATATACAGGGTACATACAGAAAGAGCAGATGAACCTATAGCACGTTGCGTAGTTTGGGTTCATTAAAATAATGCATTTGAGGCGTAGTGTGAGCAACACAAGTTATTCGGGAACAAGACATAAATACTACTTGACAAAAGATATACCACGAGATTTACAAAATAATAAAAGCCACAGTAGTAGTAGTAGTAGTGCTTTATAAAGGAAAGGCAGAGATTTTAACCCGAACGTCAGTTCTAGTTTGCTACTCTGCACCGGGGATAGGGAGAGGGGGAAGGAAAGACATAGCAGTGGGGTAGGAATATGAAGTGAAAATTGTCAATGAAGATGATTATTATCAAGTGAATTATGTAAACAGTCTCATATAAAGTTCTCAGTCATTTAGAGTCTGTCCGAAAGTCCTGTGTTTCTCAGAAATCGTATTAGAGCCTCGGTGGCCTTCATAAACTGTTCGGTTGTGTCCCAGCTGCCAAGCACTTTGAAAGCGCTAAACGGACGCGAATCTATTTTTTGTAATGTTTCTTGAAGCGTTTGGCGTTCTTCCTCGAACTCAACACACTGGCATAAGATATGCTCAATTGACTCCTCCACCTCACCGCTGGTGCAATTCCCGCAGATGTTCTGTCCTATTCAAATTTTACTAAACCAATAGGATATGGCATAGGTTGAAGGTTCTTTAAGAAGCCAAAAGTTATACTGCTTTAATATGGGGCAAAATTTCTGCAGATTTCGAAGGTTGTTAAACAAGGCAGTTTCAGATTTTCGTACCCCAAAAATAGGTTAATCTGATTCGTCTTTCTCAGCATCCATTATGACACTGCGGCAAAATAAAATTCTCAGGTAAATTTCCTCTGGTTAGAACAGCTTAAGAAGTATTGTTATTGGAAAGGGGTTGTGTTCAGTAATTATTCAATGGAACATCGTTGCATTTTTGTGTTTTATTATATCCCGAAATCTGATAATGTAACATTGATAAAATGAAACGCGGGACTCTGATATAAAATATGAGTGGCTTGTTTTACGTATTGGTTTTATTAAATGTACGGATTCTTTTTTTTAGGGGCGAAGCTCCTTGGGGGGCTAGCCATGTCCGTATGTCCGTCCGTCGTCGGGTCACGAGCACATGAGCACGTGCTCCCGTGCTCGTGTAGGGCAAAAAAAAACACAAAAACAACCGCATCTCCACGTGGTGAATGATGTTGATTGGGGCGAAGCTAAAAAAAAATTGGGTTGTGTGTGTGTTTATACAGCCTAGAACTTGGTCTGCCTCACAGGGGCGACGAGTCTCCCAGCTGTAGATGAGAAATTTAGCCAGTGCGGTACAACCGCTAGCCTGGGGTCTTTAACGTGCATCACGCAGTAGTGATACACGACCGCACGCCGGTACGATGCTCATCCAGATCGAAACGGGCAGGGGTGGGGCTCTGGTGGTGTTGTCTGCGTAGACGGCGAGCCGCAGCATGCCGAGCCTTTCGTTCGTTTTCATCCATGTCAGAAAGAGAATGTGTGGTATGGAACTTGGTTATATACGCATTTGAGCATTTGACCGCAGCGTGACAGGGATGAAAACGAACGAAAGGCTCGGCATACTGCGGCTCAGCGTCTACGCAGACAAGCACCACCAGAGCTTCGCCCCAATCAACATCATTCACCACGTGGAGATGCGGTTGTTTTTTTCTTCTCTTTTTTGCTTTTTGTTCTTATTGTGCTGTGATTGCGTCTTTTCGTATTGTTTTTTTTTTTTCCTTTTTTACTCGTAACTTGTACCCACTTGACCATCTACAAACGCTTCTGACAGCAAAAGAAGGAAGAGAAATTTAAAAAAGAAAATAAAACTAAAGCGGAGGTGGCACATCTTTTCAGGTGGCACGGTCGCTCCTGCGGAGGACACGGCAAACTCGGCCGCGGAAGTGATGCCCTCGACGATGGACCAGGAACTCGGGGGTGGCGAGACGGACGAGAAAGTGGCCGCCGCTACCTCGCGCAAGTTCGACTACTACGACTACCTCGACGACGGCGCCACGGCAGACAGCAGAGAGTCGGCACCGCAGCAGGAAAACGCCGGTGAAGTCCGCCGCGCAACAACGACTCAATAACTTGCCATAATCTCGAACACGCTCGAGGAACGTCGGAAACCTGGGTATCATACTGGAATAATCGAAGCAGGGGCTCTGATCCGGACGCTTGGCGAAAAAATCGTCGAGGAATTCCGAAGCCGCGATTGACCGGCGATATAGGGTCAAGCGTACCGCGAGCCAATCACGGCCGCCGAATTGCTCGCCTACTTTTAGCCGAGCGTGCAGATGAGAGCCCCGGCTGAAAGTAAACTTCTGAATAGGCCAACCCGCTGGCGTGGCTATTATAAATCGGCGGTCACCCTGACAACTCGTCGCACAAAAGGGAGCCTGCAGTCACCGTCTGCGGCGTGTCTCTTTGTACGACGGTCACGCAGGTAATACGAGTACCGTCTGTAGACATGTTCGACACACTCTAAAAAAAGCCTGTGCGTCTTCTTTCCCGCACAACACTCGGCGAGCCAATCACCGCAACTTACGGAAACAGCTCAGCGAATGACGATGCTGAAACATCTGTTTAGACCAAAAAACGCAGTCTGAGTTGTGACATTAAGCAATGCAAAACGTCACGCTTGCATTGCCTAATGCCACAACTCAGAGTGCGTTCTTTGGTCTAAACGTATGTTTCGGCATCGTCATTCGCTTAGCTGCCTCCGTAAGTTGCGGTGATTGGCTCTCCGAGTGTTGTGCGGGAGAGTAGCGGTGCGTCCACGCTATTCGATGGTCCGCGACTGAAACCCTGCAAATCCGAAGGGACCTTGACGCCCTCTTGCTTCCCTCTCTGGTACGCAGTTCCATCAGGTGGTCCGGGCGAGCTGGACTATTCGCTGTACGATTACAGCGACAGCGTGTTCCGGAGAAAACGCACCCTGCGCAACAGCCTCGAGGAGCTGCTCCGGAACCGGCGGCTGCCCCGCCGAGCACTGCGCTACAAGCGGGACGCCAACATGGACGATCTGCTCTACTTCCTCACGCAGATGTCCAAGGCGGAACCTTACTCCTACTACGAAGACGAGGAGGTGACCGGTGAATCGTCATTAGACAGTTTCGGTATAACGTTGCCGTGATCTCATACCGCCTAGAGCAGCAGTGCTGCCGAAAGCTCGCGCCTGGACTTTGGAGCGTGCTCTTCAACGCGCGCCAGAAGCCGTAGCGTGGCTGCGATAGCTCTATGTAACGCTCTGGTAAAACTGCCTATTAGCAGTTGTTTCGCGATGTAGTGAAACGAAATAACCATAAGATCAGATAGAAAACAAAAACGCGCATCACAAAGGAGACCTACTTAGGGAGAGAGGCGGAACCTTACAGCTTAACAATTTGGTAGATCCGCCGCCTTCATCCGCCTTTGATAACAAACCGCTCGTCGCACGCGCTGACCAGGCAGAAGGCAACTAGCGCGTGCTGGAAGTGCAGCTTCTACTAAAATGTTAGCCTATCACCGACTCTAGTCACTATTTGTCTGGCGTGCTAGCTGGGCCCAGCACCAAAAGTGCACTCTCACGGCGGCCCTTTGTGCGTTGGCTTTTACCGACTAGACCGATCACCTACAGTGCCTGTGCCACGACCCTGACATTTTGTTTTAAGTGCGTGATCGGTTTAAGCGCCGATGGCGACCCCAGAAAGGCAAGGAGCGCGTGACGATGCACTTCTGGCTGCGTTTGATTGGCTCCCTCGTGTCGTGGCCTTGGCTGCGGTCGGTCTTGGTGTAGAACGAGACGGGCTCCACCGGACGTGTCGTTGTGCAGCTCTGTGTTTTCTCTTCAGATTCCGGCCGCATCGCGGATCTCGCTGACTCCGCAAGTGCAGCAGAGCCCCCTGGAGCAATACCTGTCCGAGCTGGGCGCCATGAGTAACGAGGACAGGGCCCGGACACTGCTCGCTCTGGCGGCCCTCGCGGACCAGGGACAGCCTGACCAGTCTGAGCGGGCACAAGAGCGAGAGTCGTCCGACGCCCTGCCGGGATGGTTCCAGGTAACCCTCGCCCTGGAGACCTTTCCAAGCTTTAAATGAAAGCAAAAAATTCGGACTGCAAACAAATCTGCGGTTGTATTTAAACGTATCGATCCAATTGTCATATGGAAAATGCGTTTTATGAAGAAGGCAGATCAAAAGGCCATAAAATGGTCCCTGGTCCCTTTCAGACGCCTCTTTTTTTTTTTTTTTCAAAGTATAAATTTATTTTACCGAAACCCCCAGTGGCAAAAATATTGTCCATACGTCCGTGCATTTCCCGCTAATTTTAGAGGGGAAACTCAATTGGTGTTTAGGTCATGTGACGTCAACTAATGTCACGTGACCTGACGTCACGAGAACTGTACACCGAATTAGTTTCCACGCTAAATTTAGCGAAAACATTTACGTCACATGACCTATACACTAATTTAGTCTCCCCGTCAAATTTAACGGGGAAATTGATGTCACATGACCTGAACACCTTTAATAATCCCGTTAAATTTTTAGGGCAAATTGATGTCACGTGACCTGGAAACACGTGACATATACATCAAATAAATTTCCCCACTAAATCTAGCAGGAAAATGGAAGTCACCTGACTTATACACCAATTTAGTTTCCCCACTAAATCTAGCAGGAAAATGGAAGTCACCTGACTTATACACCAATTTAGTTTCCCCACTAAATTTAGCTGCGAAATAGATTCCCATTGAAGCGGGAAAATTTATAAAAGCAAAGGTTTAATATTTTTTAACCCAAACGGCGGTTTAAAGGGATGCTGAACCGAAATCTGGACTCCACAAAGCACGGCGGCAAAAGCGTGCAACGGGATGCAACAAACACCAAAACATCACTCATACAGCGACATCTCGAACGGATGACCGTATTTTTTAACAAAAAAAAAAAAAAAAGGAGGCGCATTTGACAGATATGTTTACGTCTTGTTTCTTCGAAAATAAGAGGGAACGGCCTCGCATCTTCTCCGCCTCGCCGCCTTGAGGGGCAAAGCGAAGAGAGGAGGAAGCGAGATATCCGAACGTCACGCGCCTCGTCGGCCTCGTTCAATCTCGACATCTTTTACCAAAAATACGGCCGTTCATTCGAGATATCGCCTCACGAGTAGTGTTGTAGGGATTGTAGCGTCCCGGCCTACAGCTCCTGCATTGTTTTCTGAAATCCAAATATCGGTTCACTATCTCTTTAATAACGTTTAAACAACCTTATACGACCGCTGCCATTTATTTTTATTTTATTTTATTTTTTTTTTTTTTTTTTGCGTGGAAAGTGCATGAGACTGAAAAATGCAGGGTTGCTAAAGAGGTAGATAAATAGTTCATATACTAGCATAGACTTCGAGCTCTTGCCGTCTAAAAATGAGGGCAGATTTTATCTTCCTTGCATCAAGATTGTCTTTTGATTTCGAGTTCATAAAACAAACGTTATTTTAGAGTCGCCAAAGCAGCTCATAAATTTAGGTCCAGAAACGAGCTGTCTCGGCGAGTTTGAACTGGAGTTTAACTCGATTGGGCTTTCAGATGTTCAGGTGGCGAAACAATAGACCCTTTCCGAAATTCAGTCTGGCCACTTTGATCACTATCATCATTTGTGGAACGGCATCTGTGCCATACCAATGGCGGCCTTGTGGTGACTGATAAAGGAAGACGTTGAAGATGCTCCTAAGCCGATGATGCGAGGCCTGTACATTCGGGGGGTCAGTACGACGCGACGTAGGAATGGAACACAAGAGCTACGTAAGCGTTTATTTCTAATAACTTAGATTCAGTCAATCTGTGGGCGGCACAGAATCGGCTTTAAAGCACATTGATGTATAGAATTTTCTCGAGGCATCTGAGTGGTTTGAAGCTTCGTTCTGAATTCAGGTTCTTGGTTACCATCGAGCTGAAAGTGATCGAGAAAGAGCTCGCACTCAACATGTCCTCGCGTGCCGTTGACTTGCGAAAGTGACGGTGCCGATACAAGTTCATTTCCACCATTGATATGGCAAACCATAAACTGCTTTACAAACCACCAGATGGCACTGAATTTCGGAAAAGGTCTATTCCTTCTTAATGTGAACTTTTCGTCCCACGTCGTCCCGTTTTTAACGCATCTGATATGTCAAAAACACTTCAACCGCAGTCACATTGTTCACACATGGTACAAAAGACAGTGTTCGCTGTAGAATTGATGACATCTGCGGACACGCCCCGAGCATGTTTGAAGCATATGCTTTTTTATATGTATGCTTCGAACATGAAGTTTGTACAGCGAAGCTGTTAAGGGCTAGTTCCCCCGCTATCGTGTCCGCGGACAAGCGGCGTCTCGACACAAAACTCGAGCCAGCTCACCGTCACCCTACGTCATCGTCTCACCTACCAATCGTGTGTGTCCTGTGTCCCGTGACGTCAAGATCGCGCTAGTGCTCTTATCAGCTGCCTTTTGGACTCACGATGGGTCGGACGCGTGCCGTTCGTTCGGAGGAAGAAGAGTGGGAGCGCAAAGAGGCGACGACATACGCAGCAGCGCGAATGGCCGCGCAAACGCCGCCGAGCCGCTATCGCGTCGAGTGCTCCCTAATCCCTTGTGAAGAGCAGATGCTCGCCTGGAACGCCGCCGAGAACAGAAGCGGCGATGTGACCGGCGCCGGCGGGCCAACGCCACGGACGACGACCGTGCCATGCGAGCCAAGCGCGAGGCCCGGCGACGACAGGACGCCACGACGACTGAGCAGTTTTTATAAATACTTCAGTCTTACCATAGTAGAGCTTCGCTGGCCTTCCGTCTTCACCAGGGTGGAAAGGCTGAAACTTTTGTATGACCAGACAGGCTCATCATACAAGGAAGAAACACTCCTCAGAGTGTGTTTGCAGGCTGTGTTTTGCATGATATATGAGCAGTGTGAGCGCGGTTTTCGTCAGCAATATTAGGCAATAACGGGCAACGTAACTCTGGAGGGATGGCTGGGTGTTAACGGCTGTGCCTTTTATAACGGGCGGTGGCTCCCGCCACCTAGCCTAAAAACTGACGTTCTTCCTTTGCAGGTGGCCCGACGATCCAGGGGTTCCTTCTACCCACAGGACTACCGGTACCTGGTCCTTCCGTCGGCTGGCCAGAAGCGCGCTGCCGGAGTGGACCGCTGGGGGAGGGTGCTCAGGCAGCACCAGCAGCAGCGTGCCGACGACGACGCCAACGTCAACAGGCTATACGCGCTGGCCGGCCTGATGGCCGAGCCTGACCAAGAAGAGACCTGGCGCGAGGCGTGAAGTGCCTCGAGCTCTGACTTGCAACAAACACCGACGAAGTGAAGCGACGCTGCCACGGCTCACTTTCCGCACCATTCGGGAAACAGACCGTTTGGCACTCTTCATTAAGTTATAAATTGTTATCGTCACTCTATTAACGTCTCGCCTACCCTATAGACTTTACTATTCAGTTTTATTTCTTGTTTTTGTTTTTGGACGTTGATAGGTCATTGAGGTTGTGGACATGGCGGTATGCCCGTAGCTTGTTATGGTTCTTATGATATGTAGCATCAAAGTCAAGAAGTAAAAAAAAATACTGAGTTTCTTTTTTTTTTTTTTTTTGCTTCGAGACATTGATTCTGCGTATGACAAGACCATAAGAAGCCATTGGCATCTTTGAGAAACCTTTTCCAATGTCGTCATCTTTGAGGCATGCAGTGGCAAGTGATCAAAGGTCAAGGTCAAGGTGCCTTGGCTTCAACTAGAAAAGACACACCTTTCATGAGATTCTTGAAGGTATTCTCCTAAATGAACCTTTATTATCAACGTGCATAAAGAAGACCCAAGATATTCGTAGGTTTTGTTTGTCCCTTAGTGTTGTCTTCTCAAATGTGCCCCCAACGTTTCACTGTACGAGTTTGCACTTAAAGCGCCCAATGCGACGCGCTGTACCCGTGAATTCAGAGAACTAGCGAAAGCGAGCAAACGTCAAAGATGTACGTACACTTCCTTGTGTGATTCCTAGAGCGTTGCTGCAATTTTCTATTGCATTCTCCTCTTGCCTCATCGCTTATAAACATAAACACGAAACTGGCGCTAATTGCCAACACATGCTCTTCAAGCAAACGTTCGTATTCCGTCTCAAGGTTGAGTTACGTCTAACGCAACAATGGTTCATGCGTTGGCAGCCTTAAAATAAGTGGCATGCGACTTAACAATATGATAGTTGGCACAACTAGAATGTAATTTAATTTGTTCGTTGAAATACTTATCAAGATACTTACTATCCCCGCTTAATTTGTTGGAATGTTATTCAAGGTGTGTGTGTACTAGTCAGGATGAGAAATGACTGCGCAGCCGCAGGCGTCAGGAAGCACACGCACGACTCGAATTTTTAAGACGCACCCTACCAGCGATGGCTGTGCACGAGAACGAAAGAGCATGTTCTATCAGCTTTGCGTTGCTTTCGGAAAATGTTGAATGTATCAAATGCTCCAAGACACATGGTCATTGTACAGTATGAAACTGGGTACATATAAATGTTGCTTGTTTTTTGTGCCATAGGAGATACGTTTCTTACAAAACATAAGCACAAATTCTTAAAGCAACTATAACCTTCGATCAAATCACGTGAACATGACACGATGTGAGGAGTAATCAAATTTGGCTAGTAGCATAGCAAACGCTGTACTATATGGTGTGCACAGAAGGGTACGCACGTTTGAAACATAGAAACGGTGCGGGATTAGCGACATATTAGCGAGAGTTTATATTTTTTCATGACGCTGAGAGTGATTTTTTTAGAGACTAAGGCGAGAAGGGTGCAAATGTGCACGAGTGTTAAAGGTGAACAGCGGCTCATGTATATGTACAGCTGAGTAAATATAACTCTTCTCTAACGATTCATATTTTCTCCTAAATGTTCGCCCAGAATGTAGCCTGTTTGGAGTGCATGGTGCTTCTAGCGAAGCATTATATGCAGTTTTTGTGTCTTTTAATTGATTTTTGTCATCAATATGTGTATCCACAGATGTTCGTGACATTCACAAAAAGCTTCAAATTTGTCCTTTTTGATCCACTGTGGGACATAACGTTGCGTGCAGTAGACAAGCCATAAGTCAAGAAATTGAGAATGAAACACGATTCTAAAAGTTGTTCCTGTATGAAGCGAAAGAAAAATTTATATATCCAGTGGTTATTGTTGTCCAGAAATTATATATGTTTCGCAATCTTTGATCCCAATTTTCAGACACGTCAAGATTTTCTTGCTGTAAAGCTGGCAGAGTACTTTGTTTCGTGTGAACTTGGGAGTGCTGCTCAGTCGCAGACTGAAGGAAGTGTAAAAAGGGAAACTATCACTTTTGTCTACCTCGTGTACTGTGAGTAATAAAGTGACGTTAAAGAAACACGTAGATATCACTTTGACTGAACGTGCGGAAAGTGCATTCTGAGTGAACCTGATAATATTTCAAAACTGCAGTGTGAGTCACAAAATGATATGGTAACTCAGTAAAAATTCTGATATCTACCAAGTCAACGAAAATGAATGTAAAACAATGAAAAAAATACGAAATTACATTGATGATTCGCAGTTATGTTGTATTTTTGTCATCTTTTGTGCTAGTATTACTGATTTAGCTTTAATTATTGTACTTGTCACGTTAACGCCATATCTTTCCGGAAATATCTGGCAAAACAAAATATATATATATATATATATATATATATATATATATATATATATATATATATATATATATATATATATATATATATGTGAACGAATATGTGCAGATGAATGAACCGTACTTAATCCAATGAATAAAAGAATCCAAGTTTTTCAGGAACCCGCCGAAAGCCAAATTGGCTTTTGGCGGGTTCCTGAAAAACTTGGATTCTTTAATTCATTGGATTAAGTACGGTTCATTCATCTGCACATATTCGTTCATATCCTCCTCGGAGACCACGTACGATGACGTGAAGTGCCCGTGTTGTATATATATATATATATATATACTATTGTGTTAATCTTCGTATTGATAGACGAAGAGCTTGTGAGTGCGGTTCAAGATTAAAGAAAGAAAGATAGGGTCGTGTTGTCCTTGTCTTACGTGTTTACAATTTCTTTTGTTCTGTTGTCCATGTTAATAACGCTCACTATGCTGACGTAATCGTTCTCATCTTGTGAGAATAAACGTAAAGCAAGAAACGAACAAACAATTTGACCTCGACGGCCATATGCCTTGGAAACGTCAACGGGAAGTATCGCCAACAAAGTAAAACCGACAACGTTCAAGCACCTGTCCTTATCCATGCTGGCGTAAGGGTTTCTTTCGTAAGCAGGGTTGCGGCAGACACTTTTTTTTTCCATGATTGTTGTGTTTTTTGTTGTTTTTTTATACATTCGTTTGGCATAATGCCGATACATTTCTCGTTGCATGGAACTATACTGAATTTTACTGTATTCCGCGCAAATGAATTGCATGTCGGTCTGACTGCGGGAAGCTAGTCAGCCCCTTTGAACGTCATGTCTCTCCGCAATAAATCAGCAATTTAGGCATTGCAGTGCCACTGCTGGCCTGGAATCTTCAAAGCCGACGTCACACTGCTCATGCACCATAAAAAAAAGACACGATGTTCCTGGTGGTCACAGTAGAAATAATGAAACAATTATCTGCGCCTGAAGCTTCAGTCCTATCATATCTATGCTTCAAACACGTCTCCGGACGGTTTCTGTATGACCAACGTGACTTGACCATCATAGAAGGAAGAAACAGGCCAGAGATAGTGTCTGCAGGCTGGCTTCCCCACGATGCATTAGCCGTAAGACCGCAGCTTTGCGTGCATCACGCAATAATGAGACACGACTGCGCGCCGGTGCGATGCTCATTCAGTTCGAAGGGCGCGGGGTTGTGGATTGAGCCCAGGATCCCCGGGTTCTGCAGCACGAGCTCTCGCTCCACGTACTCGAAGCTGCGGCGCGTTAGCGCTCTCAGCCACCGATCCCCGCTCTACACAAGGCAAGTACCACAAGCTCATGCGAAGCACTCGCAAAAAGGAACATCGGGAAAGTCTCGAAATAGTGCGATGGTTAAACAAATCAAAAGAGCGTACTTCCAGGGGCTTGGAAACCAATGGCTCTCAAGAAGCTAGCTACCATTCTCTCTCCTTCGGGCTCCCCTAACTATGCGAGGAGAAACTGAGAGAGAGGAGGAGGTGAGAGCTTGAGGGGACGTCAGAACGCCGAGCTCTGGTTGGAACGATTAGTGGGTAGGACTAAAGCTAGCTGCCCTTCTCTTCATTGCACTCATCGAACGCGTTAGAACGCAGAACGCCGGCGTCCAGGGTTTGGTTCTCACATTCGAACGCGTTCGACCAGTGCAGTGGAGACAAAGGCAGCTAGCTTTAGGTCTACCCACTAATCCTTCCAATCAGAGCTCGGCGTTCTGACGTCCCCTCTCCTTTCCTCCTCTCTCCCACTTCCTCGGCGCATTGTCACTGACCAGGCGAAAAGAGAAGGGAGAAACTTCAGATGCGCTCGCGCAGCCAAATCATGGCGGAAGGCATAGAGCGCGTGCCTGGAGGCCGTGCGTTCGAAAGACACGTCCTATTGTTCTCACTCTGCCAGTGACTACAGACCGACACGCGGAGTGGCTCTGCCAACACGGCCGGAAGGCCACTCGTGCGCGGAAGCTATGTGGGCAAAAGCGGCCCGGCTCTCCGTGTTTTCGCCATTGCGCTGTGTGGCGTGCGCTCGTTGTAGACCTTGTAGGGACGCTTCTAGCTTTATTTGTGCGCCGTATTTCCTGACAACCCATGTCGTATGCTATGCCCGACTATTTGAGCTCGCTAGCTGAGCCTGAACGGCAGCGGTATCAAAACAAACTGTGCGTGGACGCCGCTGCCTTCGAGGATCCGTACGCCGCAAACAAGGCCTGCTGGGCTTCCGACGTGAAGTTGCTGCCACCGAAGTCGGCGGCTCACGTCGTCGTTTATTTAGTTTTTTCGCCAAGCCAGTTCACGGCAGGCACGGTGCAGGCGTTTAAGTCTCTCGAGGCTATGTGATTACTTCGAGTCGGTTTCTGCACTGCCGGCAGGATCAACAGACTGTGGGTCTGCTGAAGTGTATTTATTAATTGATTAAATACACACAGCGTCTTCAAGTCAAGGAATGATATTTTCCCCACCCTCATGACCACAAGGCATGACAAGCGGTAACGCTTTGTCCGTTCTGCAGTCTTGGCGGTAGCGCGTTACAAGTAGCGGCGTTACCAGGAACACGTTAGTTTTTTTCAGTAACGTAGACACCTACTCGTTACTTTTTCGACACAGTAACGGGTAACGTACTTACGTTACTCGTTACTACTTCCCAAGCCTGAAAGTAATTACACTTCCATTTTTTCCGTGTTTTCAGGCGTCAAGCCGTGCGAATTTAAGTTTTCTGCGTTTTTCTTTGCGTTTCTCTCGTGAGTATTTAGGTGAAACCATAAAAAGAGATAAACTAATTATGTTCAGTTTTTGCATGAACATAATGTTTCTTGATATATGACCTTATACCTACATGTATCGTCGAAACGTTAAAACGTGTTAGATCATAATTTAAAAAGTGGCATAGAAGTAACGTGCGTTACTTTTTATCAGTAGCGGTAACGCGTTCCTTTTATTTTGAGATAACGTAGCTCGGTAACGCGTACCTTTTATTTGTAAGTAACGAGAGACGCATCTCGTTCTTTTTTTATCGGTAACGCCTCTAACACTGCCGTTCTGTCGCCGATCTCCTTACTCTTGGTAGCACGGGCGTAGCCAGCCTCCGACGAGCGCTTCGCCGGTGCTTCGTGCGCGAACACCATGGGAACAAAATCCGGGTGGTCTTTATCAGACGACGGTTTCCCTGCACATAAGCAAGGCTCGGGGCGGAAATTGAAATGGAAGCCGCACTTGCCTTCAAGAAAGTGCTTGCCGCACAAACGGTCGTTCGCTCGAGACGACCATTCTTTTCGATCCACGGATATTATCCACCTTCTGTGCCTTTCAGAGTCTGCCGGGAACTTGTGGAAACTCACTCCGCTACTTTTTTTATACCTTTCGGTGCAATAACCGGCAACACAGCTTCGCGGCATGGTGAAATGCTATGACGCCCATGCGAAACGCGCGTCCTTTTGCCCACACCAGCCAGCTCCGGCGCGATCTCAGCGACGCCGCAGCTCCGTGACGTCAAGCCCGCGTGTCGGTCTATAGTCTTTTTTATTCTTTTCTTGTAACATTATTTGGCATCTTTCAATCAAATACATTCCAAGGGGAATACAGGACACTCCCCGAAAATCACAGACAATGTCGACTACGGAGATCTGCGGAAACACGCGCCACGGCATCAGCGGGTACCGTTTATGCATCCGTGACCTCGTCAACCGCACCGCATTCCCGGGCGCGACGCCTCGGAATGAGGAGGGAGCTGGGGGACAGAGGCGTCGCCAAATTAAAGTACACGAGTACACTTAAGACTGTTTACGTGTAGGAAGGCTAAAGCATTTAGGCCGGTTCACACATGCAGCGAAGCGCTGATGTGGCGCTGCTCACGTGTCGTCAGCTACTTATCGTCTGCCAGGAGCAACAGTTATGACGGTGCGATACAAAAGCTGGTGAACGCTCCCGTCAGCACGGGCTCAGCGCGAGGTCAGCGCTATGCTTGTAGTCAGGGTTGGGCAGAAATACTCAAAAATGTGTTTGGAAATACAAATACTGGGATACATTAAAATAGTGGCTAAAATACTGATACTGAAATATATTTGTAAAAATGTACTGCGATACTATCGGAAATACATTAGAAATAGAGGCAAAAAGTCTTTGGAAATACAAATACAGGAATACATGTTAGGGAGTGCAGAAATACAAATACAAAAATACTGATACTGCAATACATTTTTCACTTTTTTTTTTTTTGAACGCCAACTGAGATGAAGCTTGAAGTTTGAAGTGGAAGTTTTTGATCCCAAGATTACTTTCCCGTGGGATTGGCACTCTGCCTTGAAAGTGGCGGTTTCGGACGACGAGCAGTCTTCAATGGACTCCAAAACAACGTTTCATCAAGGGTTGACCGCGGTCCCTTCCCTGACATCCTGTCTGCCTGACGAGGGATGCGAAAAGACTTCGACATCTGAATAAATTTTATGACACCCTAAATCCCATCAGAACGTCGAAACGCCCCTGTCAACATTAATCACATGACGTCACGGTGGAATAAACTGGTATTCTTTATCTGTAGGTGTGGCCTTGAACATGAAACTTTCCCACGCTGCTATATGAAAGGACAATACGTACTTTCGTTGTGGGTTATCACTCTAAAAACGAAGGGTATATTCTTACAGCCCCTGTTGTCACATATACGATGCCCCAAAACTTCAGTTGG